AAAAACAACAAGTTCAAGTTAAAATAAGTTGTGGCCCTCGTTTTTACATTTATTGCCCCTATCCTATTTGAACACCAAAACCTATTGAAAGACATTTGTGACTTTTACTTCAAAAATGAAAAAACGCACTTCAATGAGGTAAAATTTGAAGTTCGAAATTTAAAGCTCATCTCAATCTCTTCGCCTTTCTATTTTATATCTCTCCTTGCCGTCCCCCATCCTCTCTCTCTCTTGATCTCTCGCCTTGCCCACCTTAGCCCTCTCTCTCTCTTGATCAGAAAAAATGCCAACATTCCAGGCAAAAATGGAGATTTTCGATCACACTAGGTACGAATGTAACACTCAATGACATTTCTTTTCTTTTTTTTGTTTTATTTTTGGGATTTTTTTTCTAGAATTTACTCTGTTGATCTATGTGTTGATTGATTTGTTGGGGTAGGATTCTTTATTTATTTTGATTTTTCACTGTATTTAGGTTTGTTGACTGATTTGTTGGTGTAGGGTTCTTTCTTCATTTTGATTTTTCACTGTATTTGGGTTTTTGATCTATATGTTGACTGATTTGTTGGTGTAAGGTTCTTTCTTCATTTTGATTTTTCATTGTATTTGGGTTTGTTCAGGAATTCTAAAAATGCCACCCATTGAGTGCAGTTTATGATACCTTGTGAACATAGAAAAGAAGTAACAAATAAGAGATCACCTTCTCCCAAAATAGAAGCAGTCGTCTCCAAGTATAGGCATTCAATTTATGATACCTTGGTCACTTACAAATCCGTGATATTCCCTTATAAAAACCTGAGATTTTTTTGTTGCCACCAAAGGCTATGTAGGTTACTTGTTGCTCCAACGAATTTCATTTTCTTTTTTCAGTTTATATCTCGCCTTGAATTAGGTTTCTGTCACAAAGTTCCACAAAGTTCTTTCATGGCTTGATTTCTTTTGAATTCATATTTACTTGCTACTTAAATAGTGGTATCTTCTTAGAAGGGCTTGGTCTTCTATATTAAAAACATGATTATTTTCATTTTATTGCAAAGTCCAAATGTTTGAAAATATGCCCCAGCCATTTTTCATGTTTTGAATCCATTTTTTCCTTGATTATGCAATTCCTTTCATACTTAAAGGATTAAATTTTGGATCAAGTGAATGATTTATTGTTATTTTCAGTATAATAATTATCTGATGATAGGAAAGGCCGGAGTAATGGTTTTATTTATTTGATGATTTCTTGTTCTTTTCATAGCTAAAGGATTAAATTATATTGGGTAATGGTTTTATTGGTTTGATCAATTCTCTACCTTGCTAGACTTAAAGAATTAGGATCAAGAATTGGGAGATTCACAGCTTACTCTACGTATTTTGAATGGGGAATTGTATGGGGCAGTGAGATGGTTTGAAGTGTGGTGATGAAGATATTTGGTTTCAAAGCCATAAAGTAGAAGGCATGAGAGCTTCTCGCTCATGTATTTTCAAGGCTAAAAAATATTCTTGACATAGACAGAGAGATGGAACAATGTTGTAATCATATAATTCGAATTTGAATTTTATGCAAGCAATGCTAATGGAGATCTCACTCACTCTCTCTCTCTCTTTTAAATTTTAAAACAATTGATGTATTTTATCTTGTGCCTACATGAATAAAGTTTTTCTTGTTCAATGGGAAGTTGTGTTTTAACCATCTCTCTCTCTCTCTCTCTCTCTCTCTCTCTCTCTACCATGTATTTCATACCTATGTGATTCGTGGCGAATTGCAGTTCTATTGTATCCTCAGAAAGCTAGAATGGTATACCCATAACCCCTGCCTTATTACTTCCCGTAAAGAAGAAGAGATGATCAATTCCATCCTTCCAATTTACTGAAACAAGAAACGGTAATTAGATTGAAAAGGCCATTTTATTTTACAAGTAGTGAATAAAAAATTAGTTTAGGAGCCGATTCTACTCCACATAGCGGTCTTTTGAGTTGTAAAAGTGTAGAAGCTGGGTTTTCCCAAGTTTTAAATAAACTTAATGAGTTGACAATCAGACTCTCTCAATCTTACTACCAAAGGTGAGTTTTGCCTTTTAATTACTTTTCTTTTTACTTTTAAGCTGGTGCATTTCTTCAACTCTTGCTCACTCAAAGGGGAGAGAGAGAGAGGCATAGTTATTCTTCCAATGTTCTTCATCTTCATTATTTTTTTCGAAAAATGAAAACCTGAATGAGTCTCAATACAAGCACATCTTATGTCTTCTTGCAGCCGCATGAATTTCTTATGGATATACCTTATAACATTTGTGCTTGGGTACCGTCCAAAAACCATACAATGCTCAACTCTCAGTATTTTAGGGGTGCCCTTATGATCCTGTGAGTTTTAAGAATCTAAGCATTGTTGCCCCGTTGTGCCTGCCATACCTCAATTTCATATTTCAACACATCAATGGCATATCCACAAAGGGACAAAGAATGATGCTTTGCTTGCAAATCCTATTTAGTGAATTAGCAAAAGATGGAGCATTTAATCAAGTAAAAATATATTCATTGCATTTGATGCACAACATCAATATTGCATCCACATTTCAACCTTACAATAATCATTATGTACAACTCCAAAATTACATATACAAAGTTGTTACATGTAAATGCTCAAAAATCTCATATGCAAAGTAGCATTTATAGCCCCAAAATTGTGTCAACATCACACCAAGAATGGTGTTCTCTAACATATAATGATTATCTACTAAATTAACCTCTTCTTAATGGACAATTCTTATAATCATGGCCAGTTTGGCCACATGAAGGAACCTTACAATGTTTAGGTTTCTTGACAACTTCAATATGGGGCTTGAACCTTTTTTCAGGAGGCTGCCCTTTTGTCATAGACAAAACATGGTTTTTTACATGGATGCTTTCACAATGAACTCTATTTTCATCCTCTTCAGTTGCTAGACTTGCATTAGATGTTTCATCAACCATAAGAGACCTTATGCATTCTACTTCTTCAACATGTTCCAAAATTCTTGAAAATTGCTCTAATCATCAAATCTTGCACCTTTTGTACCAATTGTTGATGCTAATCATTGGACATGCTCATCATATGTAGCTGATGTGCTCGAGCTAACATTTGATATCAATGATGTAGAGTGCCTCCAACGTTTTGGCAGATATCGGTCTGGAATTTGAATAAAATGTTCCTTGAAGAGAACATGAAGAGAATGCCTGCAAATGATACCTGTAAACTCAAACCCTTTACAACTGCAATTCATAACATTATCTTCAACCATCAAAGAAACATTTTGCCCTTTTTCTTTCTTTGAAAAGTGTGTCACTTCATAGGTTCCATGATCCTTTTTAGATGTCAAATATTGGAAAGATGAAATAATTTCTTCTTGTATCTTAGAAAATGCACAAGGAGTTAAGATGGGTGCTGCATGGTGTTCGAAAGAGCACATTGTTCGAACATCCACATTGGTGGACAATTGTTGCATCAAACGTCTTTGACCCACTACATCTATCATCTCAATAACAATTGTTATCTACAAACAAGAGACAAATAACCATAATCAAGAATAGCATGCCAATATATTAAAATATCAAGGAAGACAATGAGGTCATTATTTCTTATACCTGATCTATCAATTCACTAAGCGGAGTTTGTGAACCCAATAATCGTTTCACAGATGCATTGATGGACTCTGAACATCCCGTTGTCTTCATTCCAGCAAAAAAATGGCTTCTCAAGTATGATAATGCCCAAAACTCTTTAAAATTCCACAGGTTGTTAATACGTCTATCTGAATGTAATGCAAACTTATTGACTAATGCATGCCAGCCTTCTTCAAAATCTTCAATGGATTCAAGATTATATAACTTGTAAAAATCGGTGTCAAACTCATTGTATCTTTTACCAAGGAGGAAGGAAAACTAGCCAGATAATTTTGATAACAAGTGCCATATACAAAATGCATGTTTAGTATTGGGGAGGTCCTTACAGATTGCTTCTTTGAGAGCCAAGTCCTGATCAGTTAGGATTGTTTGTGGCATCTTTCTGTTTATTAGACCTACAAATGCCTACACATATCATGCTTTAGAAACACTAGAAACATATAAGCATGCTCAAACACACATCATTGGTAAGAATATCAAAGAATTCAAAGCACAAAATTTGTAGAAGATCACAAACCTTCATTGCCTATGAAAAAGATTTAACTCTTTCATCTCATAGTAGAACACACCCAAATAAACAAGTGTCACCATGGTTATTGACACCTACCCAAATGCTGAATGGCATAGAGTAACCATTTGACTGGTAGGTTGTATCGAAAACTACTACATCACCGAAGATCTCATATGCACAATAACAAGAACCATGAGACCAAGCAATATGCTCCAACCTATTATCTTCACTAACTGTAAAATCATACTTAAAATCTTTATTTCTATCTTTCATTTGCATATATTTTGTTAAGAGAATATGAGCATCATTGTCATGGTTCGCATTGTTCATAGCACAAAAAAAGTTATAGATATTCTTATCTATAAATGGTAATTCCCTTGGTTTAAGACTTCTCTCTATTTCAAACAACCGCATCATATCTCTAACACATATACCAACTTTGGAAAATTGTTGAATACGATGCTTGTAACTTTTTGAAATATTATGATAAGCAAGCAAAAATCGAACTTCTTGTGGCTCGAGAACATCATGATTGTGTAAATTATCAAAGGTTACAACAAACCGATATGAAATATTAGAATCCATGACTTTTGCGATACTTATATGCGCTCCACAATTGCATCTCTTTGATGATCGATCTCTTTCTCCATTATTTACATACACTTCTTTGTTTGCTAAATGGCCCGCCCTATGGCAAACATAGTATCTTCTAGTACTTCCATTGCCATCACCTTCTTTTCCAATTGTTCATTCACGATGCACTAAAAACCCCCATGCCTTGGTAAAACTCCTGTAAATTTCATAAGCATCATCATGACTTGAAAATATTTTCCCATTGTATGGAACTAAATCACTAGGAACTGTTTCTAATGGGTGTTCTACAATTGAAGAAAAACCCTCTGCAAGCATGGTTTCATTTGGAGGAGTTTCTATATACTTGTGTACCTGTAAAAAAGGACTCAAGTTTGATTGTGAGTACCTACAAAAAATGACTAAAATAGATAATGTTGATAGATTAGAGATTTTTTGGGCTTGTTCATAAACATTATAATGGCTAAATAAATCAAAACACAAAGACATCCATTTGGGCCAAAAAACATTGTTCACTTGAAACTGAAAATTGTAGAATCATACTTTTTTTTGTCATAATCATAACAAGCAAATCAAGTCATATATAGCCAACCAAACTATCAATAGAGTTACTAACACATCATCAACTTTTATGTAATCCATATATCCGTAAATTATATATCAAAAGAGTTAGTAACCATAGCAAGCAAATAACACATCACTAAACATATACTCAGCCTAACCATAAGAGGCTGATCATATATTGTTTCCTAGTACCGATTATCAATGTAAAGTTCAAAAGTATATCACAATCATTAACAAATGCCCAAAATTGTGCCAAGAACAATGCTACCCAAAATTGCAGCCAAGAGTAGAGCTGCCAAAAATTGTTTGATGCCCTAAGATTGCAACTATAATTGCAACTATATTGTGGCAAGAATAGTGCTGCCCAAATTAAAGCCATTGCAACCTGAATTTGGATAAATCGTAGTTGAATTACCATGCATAAATTTCTCAATGTACCATTAAAAAAAGAAAAGAAACAAAACTAATTTCTAAAACTCATTGAAACTATAACACTTGCAAAAAGAATCTTAGAGATTGGTTTATAACTGGTGGGCCATTACTTTTATGTTGCTTGGACTTGCGTGTGCAAATTACATGCCCTCTTGTTAGGATAACTAGTCTTTTATGCAAATACCTTAACAAATTGTGGGCATGGTTTCATTTATCTAATGATAGCTGAAGCTAACAAAAATGTTATCTAAACATTCAAGATGGAAAAGAACTCCCAAGGATCAGAAAATAAAACGAAATGATTTCCCCTGCAGGTTTTGTCAGGGCAATAATAGTGTCATCTTTATTTAGGGCTCTCCATGCTCTGTTAATTTGGATTTTGATCATCAATTTTGTAAAATTCAATTTTCAAAGACTGTTGAATGTATGGTTACTGTTCAATGCTCAAGTATCAGAGACGAGACAACAAGCTATGGAATAAAAAACTAATCAAAATCGAGCAAAGTATAACACCATGGATGCAAAACCTCAAACCCAAAATTCGAAATAGTATCAAGAGGAGACATACCTTGATCACACGGAGATAAAATCCTCTTGGGCATTTGATTCAGAGAAATAAAAGAATCGACTTTTGCTTTAGATAGAAAGAGAGGAGATTGGGAAGGGTGAGGTGTAGAGAGAGAGAGAGAGAGACTTGGAGGAGCATGAGGTGCATAGAGAGTCTTTTGCTTTGCTTTAGATAGAGAGAGAAGGCATTGGGGAGGGCGAGATGTAGAGAAAAAGAGAGAGACTTGGGGAGCATGAAGTGTAGAGAGAGAAGAGAGACGATGTGGAGGGAAAGATTCAAAGTTCCCTCTTTTTTATTTTCGTTTTAAAGTTTTTGAAGCAAAGGTTCTTATTGCCCTTGTGGGTAGGCTTTGGGTTCTATTAATATGAGGGCAAAGGGGGTAAAAATGAGGTTCACAACTTATTCTAACGTGAACTTGTTGTTTTTGGGGGGTTGTTAATCTTAGAAAATCC